GGAGTTCACCTAGCTGAAAAGTATACCAATTTTCACCTATAATATCCTATCAATGCATGCATATCTGGTATCTGGTGGTGGGTGTGGCTGTCAGGGCTGTAATTATGGACATGAATTATTGTCACTTATCGGGACAGAGTCAGCAAGGCTTGTCTATCGTAACGGTGTTTGGCTCTTTTACGACAATTCAAATTTTGTGTATGAATAAGCTATTTGCTCTCGGACCCAGTAATGAGTTTGAGAGTTTACAAACATAAATACGCCCGTATTCCGTTCTTTTGTTTCCGTCTTGTACTTATTATTTGGTTAGAGAGTTGGGTGGGATTATTTCTTTTGAACACAGTTGCAGATCAAAAAGAACGACATTCCTTTAATATGTCCTGTCAATTAACCTCGGCGGGCTATACTATATACCGGAAAACACCGAAAAATACGGGAAAACAACCGGAAAACACTGGAAAACACCATGTTATACTGAATACCGGAAAACACCGGAAAAACACTAAATACCGGAAAACACACTAAATACCGGAAAACAGCCTCAATAGGTAACCCGGAGAAGGGCTATACTATAGACCGGAAACTAACCTTAACCCCGGCACACAGCTAGAGGACCAGGCTCCGGTTTAACTATTTAGGGTGCCAGTCTCCGGGTTTCCTATTTAGGGTATTTTCCGGTATTTAGTGTGTTTTCCGGTATCTAGTGTTTTTCCGATATTCAGTATTAAATGGTGTTTTCAACTATTTTGTATAAAATGGCGTTTTCCGGTTGTTTTTCGGTGTTTCCGGTATATAGTATTGCCGAACCTCGGCAATCTGCTGTAGCCGGGGTAAATCCGTAAATGCCGATGTATTTTACATTTACCTCGGCAAAATTAATAGGCGAGGCCATTAAATCATTGAATAGCTATATAACGTTATTATTTTATTTTTTTTATAAATACCAAAAATTATTATCAACAACAAATCCTACCGCGCATCGGTTTAATTATCGGTAGATAGTTCTATGTCTTTCTATTTCTCTTTGACTATTATTTCCGTTGTGCAAAAACTGTTCAGAATTTTGGGTCTCGGTAACACAATTAATTTCCGAAAATCTCGGCTTCGTTTTGAAATCCACAGGGCAATGTATGCATACGATTCTACTCTCAGTTATTAACTACAGGCATATATTAATCACAAGTACAACTCCATTTTGAAATGGAATTTTCTGATGGCATTTCGTAGATCGCGATCATGCCTCAGCCAATCAACGCTTTGAATTCTATTGTATGCTAAATTTAGCGCGAAACTTGCCCAAGTTTTTCCCACAGTCTGCATAATTAACACACAAGACCGAATAATACGTGCAATCTGATATACCTCTTCTGACATTTGATTTTTGTTTTAAATACATTTTTATAAAGACGATAACGATGTTTAGACATCCCGAACTGTTCTTATAATGAATGTTTCGATTTCAGTATCTGTCGAAAAAAACAAAAAACGTAATTTAATCAGGAACATGAACAGTCGGAACGTGAATTAAATATGGAAACTATTGAGAATCGATGGACTTTTTTCATAGTTTTTGCGGTAATTATAAAACTTTGAAAATGGACTAATAACCACATAGCATTGGGATTAGATGCCGCGTTATGAAATATTATTAATTAAAATTATGAAATAAAGTGTATTTATATAGAAATGTTAGCCACAGAGTTGCATATAATTGACAGGTATGGACCTAATATAATTTATTAAAATATATATAACATAGAGGGTATTTACAATTATGGGGTGATGATGATGTGAAAAGCAATATTTACGAGTATTCGTGTAATCGGTGATATATTCATTGTGAATTAAATTTAGTAGACTGACAATCAATTGTTTCCAATTAATTTTATTGTCTTCAGGTGCCATTTTTGTTGTCCAAACTCATCGGAAAGGTCGCGCGTTGTTGTGATTTTAACGCACGTGACTGTCAAAATTTGTCAACCATTGCCCCCTTCAACATATTAAGATGGTTTAGCACATCACGTGACACGTGCAATGTTGTGATGAACTTAGTCGAAAATACAAGCAAAAACATTGACTTTTCAAGAGAGAACTTTTTTTTTCGTTGGGATATTCAATTGTGCAATGGATTTTATTCAACCGGAGGTGATTTCAAACACATAGGCAAGTTTTTAACAACAATTATTCAGTAGTTTGTTCACAATCGACGAAATCCGTTTACAATTTACCACGGTTCAAAAGTGCACCACATGAGAATGGTACAGCACAGTGGACGCTTATGGCTAGTCCCCTGATCCATTCACTTATTTTGATATGTTCGATTTCTGCGTATGTTGTCGTGTCCGTAGATTTGATTTGTGTAAATCATGTGTGGTGCAGCCCCCCCCCCCCCTGCACTTACTATTAAAGTATTACAAATTCGCCCTGACAAACAGTCCTAGTGGTGAGTACCCCCTGACAGAGTTATGAAATTTCCAGACCAACGCTAGGCTAGATTAGCTGAAATCTGTACCACCAAAAACAGCTTGGAAATTGATCAGTTTGTGTGGTGAGTTACCCCTGACAGACATACCCAAAACACCACGCCCCCACCCCAACTAGGCTAGATTATCCGAAGTGCGTACCACCTAAAACTGCTTGGAAGTTGTAACTACCACAGGAATCAAGAACGACCATTACAAGACAGAGTGTGTGGTGGTGTACTCCTGACTTGAAGTCAGGTGACTGATTAGCATCACGACATTTTAACCGGACACCACAACAACCCGACAACCCGACATCACGACATTTTCACCCGACACCACGACATCAACATTGTCGTAATGTCGCGTAAAAATGTCGTGATGTCGGGTTGTGGTGTCGTGATGTCGGGTTATCGTGGTGTCGGGTTATCGGCCATATTCTTCTCAATACTATGATTATATACACGGATCGTGGTGTTGGTCAAGAAAGTTCCCCGGGATTTTGCAGCGTGGTTTCTCCCTGTCGGTAGTGCAGGACAAAGTGTCTGGCAAAGTCCATTGTCTAGTTGTGTAGATGGGACAAACAACAAGCTCCTGTTTGCACATTGCCGTGCACATAAAAGAATCCTTCACAGTTGGATTTCGAGGAAGAAATGCCACGGTTCATTGAAAATTTCCATCATAGCACTCTGCATAGCGTATACCTATCTTTAATAGCCCGATTGGTGCAGATAATTAGGAAAATTGAATGAAATGAAAATGAGTTTAACGTCCTACTGTTCTGCTCTGACTGGGCTAATGAAGACGGGCATTACTGTGGGGGAAACGTTGCTCGGTTACGACCTACTTTTATATTGAAATCTAAAAGACTATACGTTATCTCCTGCCAGGCCCTCCGTCCTGTACCACTTTTAAGTGGAATCACACCGGAAAATTCCCGATGAGCTTTATCGGCCAACGCAGTGTTCGAACATGAGACCTCAACGTTAGCGAGTCAATGTCTTATTCACTGGGTCACCATGACTACCAGAAAAGTAGGACATTAAACCCCATTTCCGGAGTGATTCCTCTTTGACAGTGGTGCAGGACGGGGGAACCTGGCAATGGATAACGTATAGTCTTTCGGATAGGACGAAAAACCGAGGCCCCATTTAATATAAGAGTAGGCCGTAGCGCCGCTATCCGGGTAAAGTTTCCATCTTAGTACACTGCATAGGGTATGTACGTCTTCATTAGCCCAGTCGGAACTGAACGAAATGAAATAAAATGGAGTTTAACGGCCTACTGTTCTGCTCCAACTGGGCTTACACCTTTCGTTGTGTTATGAAGGACATTTTGCTCGGACAGCGACGCTACGGCCTACTCGTATATCGAATTCCAATTGCCAAGGGATCTTTAACGTGCACGCCAATGTATACACGGGACCTCGGTTTTTCGTACCATCCGAACGACTAGACAGCTGTCCTTGTCAGGTCCTCCTTCCTGCACCCCTGACAATGGGAAACCACGTCTTAAAATATTGAACAATACGACATTTTTACGCGACATTACGACATTTTTAATGAAAATGTCGTATTGTCGGGTTAAAATGTCGTTGTGCCGTGATGTCGGGTTGTCGGGGTGTCGGGTTAAAATGTCGTGATGTCGGGTTTTCGCCTTATGAAGGTCGACACCACGACACCCAGACATGATACCAATCAGCCACCATACTTTTGTCTAAACGATAAAGAGGAAAGATACACGATATTAAGTCCTAGACGATAATATTTAGTAAGTCATGTTTGTGAGAAACTGGGCGTGGGGCATTTTCACAATGGTAAAGTTTAATGGTGCATAGACTTACGCCTGACTGCTTTGACTAGTTCAGTATATTTTTAGTGAATCCCTTACACTTTAGAAAGGTTGCGCGCGTGTGTGTGTGATGGAGAGAATTATTTGGAACTTATCTTGATACTTTTATACTATTTTCACTGAAACATAAAATCACCGAAACATAAAATCACCATTAAGCACTGAATGTAATTTATACAAAAAATCAACGTTCAGATTTAAGGCCTATTCAACCGAGTTCGTTTTGCATATGAATTAATGTCAATTGTGGCTTCTTGGAATTGAAAGCGTTCCTTTAATTACGTCTAACGTGTTGATTCGACCCGTTATTAAATTCTTTGTAGAAGGAAAGGTTCCGTGAACGTATTCTGAATCAGTTCGCAAAGTATTATCCCTAACTTATTAATCAATAAGCACATCCGCTCCACTGCATCTCCAGGAATATTGTCACAACTTTGTCCAATTAAGATGTCTGCTTTTCCGCTGATCAGTTTCTTCTGAACAGTCCGACTTATGCCAAAAATTGTAAATTTAATTATTCAGTGCTTGCTCTATCCAACTAAGTTCAGCACTTTCTTTAAACCTTTATAAAAAAAAGACAGTAAACTTAATGCAAAGACTGTTTGTTGATAAATATTCAGCTCAATTATCGGTCCCAATTTATCTACGACTGAAATATAAGGTATCCATTCTATTTCAGGAATGGTTGTGTTGGTGTATAAAGTAGCCATTTTGCTGGTATTGCTGTTGAGCCCAGTGACAGGGTTGAAAATTAATAATATCATTGAAAATGTGGTAATACAATATACGCAATATCTGAGTATTAGAGAACGGTGTAGTTTGATGGGGTAATAGGTAACCAAAGACGGACAAGGTCTGTGGCGCTGGCAATTGGTCATAAGAATGAGATTTAAACTTAAGATATCGCTAGAGATGACTGGTTAGTTACCGGCCCTCGGCTAAGTTTGAATCCCGGGGATGGATGTGCAGATACACGTTATTCTTACATATGGGTTAATGTTTCGTCTATATAAATTAAATATACGATATGGTATAAGACCTATAGAAGACACCCATATTACTTGCATTCGTTTTATCTGTGTTCTGTTTTTTAAAGTTCCAAGTTATTATATGACGGAAATGAATGTATCTGGTTTGGTCGTTATTAAAGAAATTATTAGTGAAGTTGAAAAGCGTGCTAGTATCATTTGAAGTCCTTCTAAAATCCTGAAAGAGCTTGCCATTTGTTCTTGTAATTAATGATGCCAATCAAATAGATGTGGATGTCTGAAGATTAGACATACGCATTGTACTAATACATGTTATGGAGTATAGCCGTCTTCAATAGCCCGGTGGGTGCAGAACAGAAAGACGTTAACCCCCATTTCATTTCTTTTCATACCGATATCAGCTATGATTATATGTATGCTTACATTGATATGTACTTATTATTGTTATATGCTATGAAAATATGTATCTTTGTTATTATTGTCAGCTATTAATGGGTATAATGTGTTGTTGATATTGTTGATTAACTATATTCCATGAATGTTGTTTTATATAGATACATGATCTACAGAGTAAAACACAGAGAGACCAGGGATGTCAACTTAAAGCTACCAGCGCTGTCATAGAATGGTGCACAATGCCAACAGGATTAAATATGACTGAATTACAAGATGATTTCGCATCATTTCCTCAAAATACAAAATGTGCTCTGAAGATGGACAACTCTCCAGTTGTATGTAAAGGTTGTTATGAAAACAGATGGTACGAAACATCTTGTGATGATGGTAAATACTATTATAAACTATATTTACTCTATTCTTCTTTTTCTAGACACTTCTCGATTGAGGAGTTGAAACTTTGATGATTATGGCGGCTAATTAAGCAAGCATAGTGACATTATTTTCCTATTTATGTTCATGAATAACATTCTTTGAGTTTTTATATTAGATAAATCAGATTATTTTAGCATTAAATATAAGGACCGAAAAAGATAGCAATAATCTATAATACAGCTCAAATTTACACAACTCAAATTCAACTGGTTGTAGATTAATAGATTGCAACCCTTTAAGCAACCTTTCTGGCTGTGTCCTGCAATACTTTTTATTAGTTTGGTCATTCATGCCTTTTTACAGTTTGGTCCCTTAATCCTGTTTTCTAGTTTTGTAATTTTCATCGCAATTTTTTTTTCAGATCTATATGTTCATAGACATAAACGATTTTTTGACCTTTTCGTGGCTGCTGTGGGTTTTTTTGTCGGTGCTGTCGCTTGTTATTATTTATGTGGCCGTGCAGAAGGTAGGAGAACCGCTGTCCATAGAATAATTTTGGGGATTTTACTATAAATATCGTATTAATTAAAATATATTATAATATTATATAATATGAATATTTGATATGCTGTTGGGTAATCATTTCAACGATTATATCTTCGAAAGGAAATACTTGAGAAATAACCATTTTAAGTTATTTATTGAGTTGATAACTCTGGTTTCATGATCACATGACCAGCACTAAGAAACCTTGTGTAACGTCCATTCTGTACTACAGATATATCATGTTTAATCATAATTGAACATTTTACATTGCTAAACAATTAACAATAATACAGCCTGCATTATCATTTAAACGTGGATTCCTCACTCTGTCTTCAGGCTTGACAGTAAAAGACTGATTTCCCTCATCCCCACCAGAAATGACCCAAAATCAATAACCCAGCCAAGGTAGACAACTCCTCTCAACAAGTGTCCCTTGGCAACGGAATGAAACCACCAAAATTATCAAACAAAACCTAGAATTATTTTAGAATCATCATCATCGGACCCGTTAAATGTGCAGCGGAGCATTTAATAAAAATCAAAAATGAATCTAACAATTTATACAATAAAAAACAAATGTAAATGCCCAAAACTGTTTTAATAATAATAATACTGTTGTAAGAATTCACAAAATGACTGATATTAAAGCACATTCACCCTTTAATACACTTCACAAACACATTGGTGATATAATTATATTATACTGATTTTCACTGATCATCATCGATTAAGGGTGCACTTTCAAGATAAACACATTTACATGTATCAATTGGCCTTTTTAACACAGGTGTTTTATTTTTAACTTTCACGACGCGAACACGGCCGTCTTGCTCATTCGGATACACTTCGAGAATACGAACTAAAGGCCACAAACATCTTGGTAATTCGTGATCTACAACCAAAATAATGTCACCAACGCGAAAGTTTGACGCTCTTGTAGTAAGGGTACATACTCCCGAGTCCATCCCCGCCAAACACATCAGATAAATACGGGACATGTTGCCACCGACGACGCAAATAACAACCCCCTTTCTTAAATTTACCAGGTGGTAGCTCTGGCCCCGTTTTCAAAAGTAATAGGTGTTGTGGTATCAGCGCACCCAAGTCGTTAACATCACTCGAGATTGAAGTTATTGGACGACCATTAATAATTCCTTCGACATCACAGAATAAAGTACTCCGAGTCTCATCATCCATAGTTTAATCTTTAGTGAGAGCGCTTAATACGTTTCGAAGGGTCCGGATACAACGCCCCCGTGTACCCGCAAAATAGGATCCAGCTGGAGGATTAAAGGACCACTTTATATCTTGTTGTAGTATGCCTTGCTGATTCCACTCGTTAATTGCAGACTTTAATTCCTTGTTTACACCAACAAAATTACTTCCTTCGTCCCTTCTGATTTCGACAGGACACCATCTACGAGCAATAAATCTCAGAAAACCATTAATGAAGGAGTCTGTAACCATCGTATGTAGGCAAGACACGTAAATATGCAACCCCAGCGTTTCGACTCACTCCTTCCGCTCTTGCTCTTGACCATGAATGGACCGAAACAATCCACTCCAACTGCCGAGAAAGCGGGTAAATCAGGAGTTACTCTTGACTTAGGGACATCTGCCATCTTTTGCTTGCCAACAAGTGTTTGCCTTTTACGACATGGTAAGTCTCTTGATATGACATTCCTGGCTGCTGAGTTACCTTTGACTATCCAAAAACGTCTCCTAATGGCTGATAATATATACGATCTACCAGAATGTGCAGACACTTCATGATAATGACAAATAATCAGCATGATGACATGACTTTTCTTGGGCAAGATTATCTGATGTTTGGATTCAAACGATTATCCAGATCTACGTAGTCTTCCCCATACTCTTAAAATACCATGTAACAAAATGGGATCCAATTTAGAAATAGAACTTCCTTTAAAGACTTTCTTCTCAAAATCCATTTCTGTTTGTAAGCTCGAAATCTCATGAGAAAAGTGTTGTTTAATAATTTGGAGTTCAGCTGACTTTAATTCTTCAACCGATAATCTCTTGACTTAAATTTAATTCATCATTATTGCCCTTTTTATACATCCACATTCATAATGTGGACGTATTATGCCGTCGCCCCTATGTGTGTGTGCGTGTGTGTGTGTGTGTGTGTGTGTGGGGGGGGGGGGTAGTGTGTCTGTGGGTCGCCTATAGGGCACAATTCTTACTTATTTCTTATACCTTAAGGGTGATCCCTATTGTTTTTGATGCATGCCCGACCCCCAGGGACAGAGTCACGTCCACTTATTATATTTGTTTGTTTGTCGTCTACAGGCCGCATTTCTTAACATATCATCTTGAAACTTTGCATACTTATTCTTTGTACCCTAAGAAACACCACTATCGTTTGGGGTGCATGTCCAAACCCCCAGGGACAGAGCCACGCCCATTTCTTTCTGTGTGTCTGTGTGTCGCCTACAGGCCACAATTCTTAAGTGATCATCTTGAAACTTTACATACTTATTCTTTATACCCTAAGGAACATTCCTATTGTTTTTGGTGCATGCCCAACCCCCAGGGGCAGAGCCACGCCCATTTCTTATATTTGTTTGTTTGTCGTCTACAGGCCGCATTTCTTAACGTATCATCTTGAAACTTTGCATACTTATTCTTTGTACCCTAAGGAACATTCCTATCGTTTGGGGTGCATGCCCAACCCCGAGGGACAGTGTCACGCCCATTTTCTCTTTGTGTTTCTGTGTGTCGCCTGCAGTCCACAATTCTTAATCGATCGTCTTGAAAACTTTTTTATATTTATTCTTTATATCCTAAGGCTGACCCCTATTATTTTTGGTGCATGCCCGACCCCCTGGGACTGAGCCACGTCCAGTGTTTGTGTGTATTCCTATTGTTTTTTGGTAATTGCCCAACCCCCAGGGGCAGAGCCATACCCATTTTATCGTTGTGTCTGTGTGTGTTGCCTACAGGCCACGATTCTTAATGGATCGTCTTTGAACTTGGGTTATGTATTCCTTATAGCCTAAGGACGACAACTGCATGTCCCGACCCCCAGGGACAGAGCCACGTCCAATTTTTGTGTTTGTCGTTTAAAGGCCGGAATTCTGAATCAAATCAGCTTGGTACTTGACATATGTATTCCTTATAGTCTAAGGGCGTCAACTATTGATTTTGGTGAATGCCCCGAACAACGAGGGGCAGAGCCACGTCCACTTTTTGCTTTTAGCGCCCAAAAGCCACAATTCTGAATGGATTATCTTGGTATACTTATTCCTTATACTCTAAGGACGACAACTATTGATGTTGATGCACGACCCCCTCCTCCAAACCTCCTGCGCCCCCACCTCATGCCCTTTCGGCGGTGCCACACCCATTTTTTGTTGATAGTTTGTCTGTAAATGATATACAGGTTGAAATTATTAACAGATTTGGATCCAATTTCGAATGATCCAGCATAGAGTTGTATCTATATATATTGGTCCATGTCCAACCCCGAGCGGCAGAGCCATGCCCAATTTTTTATTTTATCGTCTACCGACTGCAACTCTGAATGGATCATCTTGGAACTTTGCATAATTATTCCTTATAGCGTAAAGACAGCAACTATTTATTTTGGTCCCTGGTGCAGTGTCTCACCCACTGTTTTGTTAATAATTTGTCTGAAAATTTAGCAAAAGAAACCCAACGCCTAGCCTTCTTTGCCTCTTGTCATATTACAACAGGGCTCACACTGGCTTTCGATTTTTTTTCCGCCAAAATGGATGATAATGTCTATATGAAAAAAAATGTTTATATTTTTTTCCGCCAAATGGATGATAATTTTTATATGGAAAAAATGTTTATATTTTTTTCCGCCAACTGGAATATTTTATCTGCCAAAAATGTGTGATAAAAAAGACAACACCTAACAATTTTATGTCTCAGATAGGCTTATTATAAAACAATTACCGATATATACAGTACAATATATAAAAAAACTCTAAAAATCTTTCTTTACATAATAGATTAGCAAAGTTTGGATTTAATAAGATCAGATTTTATTTTTTGGTGACTTTAATCTATTTGAACATCGTACTGCACAATATATTTTCAGTATTTACACGTCAAATCTCATCCAAGGATTGCCAATGTTCTATAAATTTATGTGTTGCGTGCACAATGGGTCTATTTTTATTTTCAGGTAACGTAAAGGTATCAGAATCTGAATCCTTGATAGAATGATATAAATTTTAATTTCAATTATATTTGTTAAAAGATGCTTACAATATACTCGTCGTTAACTTTTAGAGCATTTTGGCGACGGTAATATGATACAAATGGCGAACTGTTTTCTCGCTCAAGAATCGTCACTATTCAACTCGTTCTTGCGTTTTCGACCAGTGGTGATATTATAATTTGAAATAATGATATCCGATAGGCATGCTTGTATTTTTTACATAACGTATATGAAGCGACTGTAAACGAATTCAGCGATCAAAATATTTAATTCTCTTCGTAAGGAACTGTCGGCCATTTTGATTACATGTTTTATCATTTTTTTAAAGACGGAACGAAACATCAAATAACGCAACATGTAACGCAACATTCGATAATGTAAAGAAATCAAATGAAATGGGGTTTAATGTGCTACTGTTCTGTTCCTTACAATGGAAAGAGTAGGTGGTATGACACCTTCTAAGCAAAATGTCCCTCACAACTCAATGTATAGCATATGCCTGTCTTTATTAGCCAGTTCGGAGCATTCTTATTTTGAATAACCTATTTCTCTAAAATGGACTAAACTGACAGACAGAACAGTAAATATTTTGCCCAAAATTCGATATGTTGTCAAAGGGAGGAATAACCAATGTGACCACTATTTGACAGTAAATATACATTTTTCTGTAAAAATAATAATTATTTCAAACGGCATTTCTGTTAATATACAGCTCCCGTGATGTAAACTGGCATATGGTTGTATTATTACACTAAATTGGATGTAACCTTATACGCCTTGTATTCATATG